CCCAGGCTGTGTAATCTGTTCACATAGTAGAAAGGGTGATTGTATGGTAACCGGTGTTATTTATCTTATCGCGTGCTTATCATGTGGAAATACCTATATCGGCGAGACTGGGCGCCCTCTCTGCGTTCGCGTTAAGGAACATCTAGATGGGTTGAAGTCAAAATCTGCTACACCTCTGGGTTCACATCGTCTAGTTCAACACAACAACGCTGATATACAAATTGGAGGGAAGTCTTGTCGTACGCCCGAAATCCTAGTGCGCAAAACATTTTGGCGTTGATCCAAAACACAAGAGAGCGTTTTGGATCAACGCCAAAAGTCCAAAAATGAATAGGAAGGAGGAGTGCATCGCTATCACTGGAGAGCTAGCCCCTTATGGATTTTATTCCTTTGTAGATTTGAATATGAGGTCAGGTCACCTCGGCACGTACAAAAGAGCCTTGAGGGGCAGTTTTGTTAATAGGTGGTCTTCACACCTTTGCTGTCACTTGAGGTGTGTATTGCTATCGTACTCTGGTGGTGTTTTAATTTCTTCTGATTGAATGTTATCCTGAGCCTTTTGTAGGCGTCCAAGAGGACAGATTGCTTATGTATTCGACTTTCTGGGCTCTGAAGAAGGCGAAACCGCCGAACGTAAGCCAAGAAAGGATAGTTAAAATCTTGGTTCATTGCTAAAAACAGTTACACTTCAAGTTTCCGGAATGCAAGATTTAAAAACAGTCGAATGTTGACAGTTCTTCGCGATGTGCTAGCGCCGAAATAGTTGAGCAAAATGACGTCTTTCTATACGAGTGTTTCCCGAATTTTGTCGCTTTCCGTCTTACATCATGAAAGAATCACGGTGATTACGCCGACGCGCACAGTGAATTGAGTACACCGCTTGGGAATTGAAATCAATCAATAAACAAATTGGCAAAGCTCCAGCGGGGCGGAGTCAGCAGTGATCCAGCCACGATGGTATATCTGTAGGACTTTCAGAAGTGACATATTCCGAGTTATAGCGGTTTCTGCACTGGTAGGGGCTAGCTTCCAAACACCGACGATTCACAATTCCTGGAAGAAAAGTTGAAAGTAATTCTTTGAAAAAGTCGGGAGGAATTATGTAACATCTCGATCACGATTATGTCTACTTCGCACTGTAGCGCTGTACTGTAAAGATGTAAGGTATACGGTATCAGGTCTAAACCACATCTACCTAACAAGTTTGCTAGTGAGCTGACATTCTTACTTTGAATATAATATCCATTTCTCATGGTGGAGCTTTATTGTGAAATAGGATAGTAGGGAGTCCAAATCAGTGTTTTGATCAAAAGGTTGTTTGTTGAAGTCTTGACTGATTGCACATGAATATCATAT